TGCCAGCATGTGGCATGCCTGTAGGTTTATGTGCAAATGTTGCAGGGATTGAGGTCTATGATGTTTGTGGTCTATGTCGCTGAATGCTGTTTCTCTGAAATACTTGTAAGTGTGTATCTCAGCCTGTGTGGTTTTTGATCTTTTTGTGAGTATGTCACAGGATGTGAGGTCTGGTCTTTTGGGGCTTGTATTTCCTAGAATTTGAATTCTCTGAGCTGTTTTTGTATGTATGTCCCAGGGTGTGAGTTTCCTGATTTGTTTGGGTGTGTGCGTCCTGCGATTTGAGGTTATTCGATGTTCTACATCCAGCATATTTTCTTTGAATTATATTTTAGGGTCTATATCCTAAGTCTCAGAAGGATTTCTGAATTCTGGATTTGGGGGTTCTGAGCTCTTTCTGGTCTACATTCCAGGGGTGAGTTCACTGTGTTTTTTGGGTGACTGTCCTAGAGTCTGTGGTCCCTGAACTCTTTTGGTTTGAGAGTTTCTTGACCTGCTTGGGACATATTTTCAGGCCTCTTCTTTTTGGGAGGCATCAATCCCAGGGTGTGAGCTATCCACCCCATTAGGGGTTTGTTCCCGGGTCAAGTTCTCTGAGCTTTTGATGGGGGGATGGGGGGTTCTGGTTAATGAGTTTTCTGAGCTATTTGGAGGTCTTTGCTAGGTGCATGAAATCTCTCAACTCTGTGGTAGTTTCTGTGCAGAGTATGACATTTCTGAATCATTGAGAAGTCTCTGTTTAGGGGTGAGGTGGCTGAGCTGTTTTGGGTGTCACCCCCTGAACTGTTTTGAGCCCACGTCCCAGGGAATGAGTTCTTGCTGATGTTGGGGATTTTGTCTTTGGGTGCAATTTTGAGGGGCAGTTTCTGGATATGTTTCCAGAGTTTGGGGTCTTTCTAGTGCCTCAGGCCTTGGAGGTGCTTCACCCTCTGTGTCCCAGAGTGTGAGATCTCTGAGCTCTGTATCCCCTTGCTGTTGAGGTCCCTAACTGTTGGGGTGTGTTTCCAAGGGTGAGGTAACTCCTGTTGGAGGAGCCTCCATCCCAGGGAATGGGGCCCCTGACTTACTGGGTTTCCAGGGTTTGAGGTCTCTGAGAGGTTTGGGGTTCTGTCAACAGTTTATGGTGTCTCTTGGGTGTTTTGGGGTTCATATCCTGGTTGTTACGTTTCTGAGCAGTGTAGGGGTCTGTGTTATAGGGCATGATGTTCATTAATTTTGAGCATTTTGGCATTGTGTATCTGATATGTGAGGTCTCTGGCCTGTTTGCAGGTCTGCTTTCCAGGGCGTGAAGTTAATAAAGTCTGAGGGTTTTTGTCCCACAATGTGAGTTGCTTGTTTGTGGGCATAGGGAGCCAGGATGTGCTGTGTCTGAGCCGTTTTTGTGTTTGTCTCCCAGGATAGAAGTTCTCTGATGCAAGGTCTGCAAGCTGTTGTGGGTCCGTGTCCCAGTTCTGAGGTTTCTCTGCCTTGTGGGGCTGACTTTGCCCAGAACGTGAGGTTTCTGGGCTGTTTGGTGATCTATGTCCATGAGGGTCAGGTGTCTGAAGTCTTCCTGGATACAAGTACAAAGTGCAAGTTCCCTGAGTGCTTTTGAGGTCTGAGTCCAGGGTGTACTATTTCTCAATCATTTGGCAGTCTGTGTTTTTTGTTGGGGATGTTAGCCTAGGGTGTGAGGTTTCTAAGCTGTTTGGGGTGTGTGGCCTCGGAGTTTTTTGGGTCTGTATCACAGGACATGAAGTCTAGAAGCTGTAGAGGATCCGTGTCCAGATTTTCAGGTCTCTGAGCTCTTCTGTGAACTAGAACATGAGGCCTTTGAGCTGTTTGCAGACGTGTCTCAGTGTTGAAGGCTCTGAGCTGTTTGGGGGGAAATCTCTGTCCAATTCGTGACATGTCTGAACAGGAATCTGTTGAGTGCGAGGTTGCTGAGCTGGTTTAGTGCCTGTGTCTCAGCAGATGTGGCTTTGGTGTGCCCTACCATCATGTTTGAGATATGAGGTCTCTGAACTGTTTGCCCATCTTTATCCTGGTTTGGAAGTTCTCTGAGAAGTTGCTGGGTCTTTATCCTTGGTTGTGAAGTCTGTGAGTTTTGTGGGGATCTGAAGTCAGACTTCCAGATCTCTGAGCTCTTTGGGTATGTGAGTTGTAAAGTATGAGGTCTCTGAAATGGTTCAGTCTTTCCTAGGATACCCTGACTCTGAACTGTTTAGAGGTCTGTGTCGGAAGTTGTGGGGTCTCTGAACTGTGTATAGATCTGTTTCCCAGGGTCAGAATTTTCTGAACAGGGTCTGTTTCTGGGCCATGGAATCTCTGAGTTCTTTGGAGTCTGTGTCCAAGACATGAGTCTGAGTTGTTTGTGGCACTGTATTCTAGGGAACAAGGCCTCTGGAATGTTTAGTGCTCTGTGTTCCAGGGTGTCTCAGTAACTCAGGGGTCTGTGTCTAAAGTATGAGGTTTTATAACCAGTTAGGGATCTATGTTCTCTTGGGTGTTTGGGTGGTCCATGTCCAGGGTTTCACAGCTCTGCTGTTTGGGGTGCAGGGGTCTATCTGAGGCTGTGAGGTCTCTGGGCAGTTTGGGAATCAATGATCAGGGGTGAAGGCTCCGAATAGATTGGGGAACAGTATCACAGGTTGTGAGGTCTCTGAGATGTTTATGAATCTCTATCCCACAAATTGGATGCAGTGTGGGGGCAGCATTTGTAGCCTCAGGGTTCTTTGGAAGTCTTGTGTCCCCTAGTTTCAGTGCAGCATGGGTTATATCGGGTTTGTGTCCAGGTGGGATTGCAGAGCTGTAGGGAGATGTGTCCCAAGGTGTGAGGTCCCTGAGGTCCAGGGTCAATGTCCAGGGTATAAGGTCTATGAGCTGTTTGGAGGCCCGTGCTTAGGTGCCAAGATCTCTGAGCTGTTCAGGATCCTGTGGCCTGTGTGCAAGGTCTCTGAAATATTTGGGTATCTGTGTCACAGCATGTGTGGTCTCTGAGCAGAACCAAAGGGCATGGGTTCACATTCAGGTTGAAGGATGATGAAGACAAGTATGTATACTTGAAACACCATCTCTTTCTTCTGTTTTATACCCTGGCACATATAGGTGCTCAATAAATATTTGCAGAAAAGCTTCCCCCAGCACATACAGACTTTTCTCTTTGAATGTAGTAGGCAGGCTTCAGGCTCAAAAGTTTGAAAAGCATGGAGGATCCAGCTAGAATTGTGTCATATGTATGGCCAGTGATAATGGTTTGTCCATTTCAACAGCAATGGATTTAGTTTGCTTGTTCAGTGTATGATAACATTTAAGTATAAAGCCAGCTTATTTTAGGTCAGCATGTATGCAGACGATGGTGCAAGTGGTGCACCGCAGGGAATGTTAAATGGCTGAGGTTGAAGGACTGCATTCCTGGGCACCCCTGCTCCCAGCCTCTCATCTCCCCAACCCTCACCTACACAATGTCTTCAATCCCCACACCTTGGTTTTTTCAGTCAATAACCTGTTTTATTGACGCCCATTCCCAGACTGGGAAGGCCAAGGGGATATACAAGAGGAGAATCAGATTCAGTCCAAGCCTGAAGGTCAGTCTGGGGGTGGGGAGCACAGACACACAGACAGACACAAAAACAGACACACAGATCTGGCATCTGCTGGCAGGGCACACAGTCTCACCTGGGGACACTGTGTACAGGTAGTCAGGGAAGGAAGGCTTTCTAGAGAAGACCTCACAGGGGAAGCAAGGGATGAGGCAGCCATCAGCGCCTTCACCTTTTATACATTTGTGGGCAGGGAACTGAGACCAGAGGACCCAAGGTGAGTGCAAAGGGCTGGGGGGTTAGGAGGCGGCAGGGGCTTCCCCTCACCTCACCACACCCTGGTGGGTAAGCCAGCCCCACCCCATTCTTGGTCTGCGCTTTGCCTTCTGCCACACGGGCCCTTTCCTGGGATCCACCTCCATAGTTTTCAAGGCTTCCCTGAGACGATCCACGTGGACCAGGTGCTCAGCCCAGTGCCTGGCACCTCCTCAGCACCCCATCCATGCACGTTTTGTCTAAGTGCTGTCTACAGCCTAGCTAGGTCTCAGGTCCAGCTCTGGGTGCTATCAGCAGTCCTCACACTGCAGGTTAAGGGCTCCCAGCATCCTTTGAGCTCAAGAGCCCTGGGCACCTTCTTCTAGCTGTTGCAAAGGCAGAGCTGAGTCCCAGCTCACATTAGTGAAGTCGCTCAGTCGTGTCCGACTCTTTGCGACCCCATGGACTATAGCCTACCAGGTTCCTCCGTCCATGGGATTTTCCAGGCGAGAATACTGGAGTGGGTTGCCCACCTTAAGGACAGGCAAAATCTGGGCTGCCTCTCACTGGCCAACAGGCCATGGGCATCCACTCTCCTCTAGTGGCATGTGGGTGTCTGCTTCTCAGAAGCACAGCTCTGAAAAGGAGAGCCTACAGCTCTCAGGCCAACACCAGCCAGCATGCAAGCACGAGCAGGACCCAGCCACAGCCTGCAGCCCTTGAAGACACCCCCCCCTTTCACTAGCACATTTCTGTGGTGGGGGGGGCGAATGGGCTGGGAATCCTGGGCTCTGGGGTCAGCCTGTCCTGGGAGTGCTTCCTCACACCCTTGGGGCAGTAGGGAGAGGGCCTGCAGCAGACCCTTCAAGCTCTGGCCAGAAGCAGGTGCAAAAACAAATGTTTCCACTTTGGGTATGGGCTGGGGCTCAGCCCTCGGACCACCTTACTAGGCCATGAATCCCAACTACAGAAAGTCCTGGTGTTGAAAAATCACTTCTGAAGGTGGGCAGGGGTTTGTAAGTGCAACCCATGGATGGGGCTGGGACAGGGAGAGGGGACTCCTGGAGTCCGTCCTCCCCATGGCCATGCAGCCCTGAGCAGGGGGCAGGCGGAGGCAGGCAGGAGGCCCTGGCAGTCGTTTTTCAACACGAGGGCAGCAGTGGGTGGGTGGGGTGGGCAGCTTTTTAGGCCCCCCTGGTCAGTCTGGCCTCAGACTTCATGGGGCTAGAAGAGGTATTTGCGGCAGGATTCAGTCCCACACTTGCATTCAATGCGGACCCGCTTCTTGGGAGAGCCGGGGAGCCCAGCCAGACCAAAGTTGGAGTCCATGCGTGTGCTCTCCATGTCCACGGGGTCCACTGTGGAGTCACAGCCGGAGGGAGGTACTTGTTAGACAGAAGGCCAAGATGGAGGGGTCCCGCTGCCCTTTTTACCATAGGACCCAGGGGTCTGAGGGGCGGGGAGCAGGTCTGAGATGTGAGCCAGGTAGCGGGTCATGGGGTTGGTGGTTTCAGGCAGGGGCCAGGGCTTCCACTAGAGGGGTGTTCAGGTGTTAGGAAGATGGCCAGGGAGTGCGGGTTCTTGGAGGAGGCAGGGAGCTGTCAGGGGTGACTGAGAGGGTTGTGTCAGACAGAGGTCAGGAATGGAGGGTCACCTGGGCATCCAGAGGGGCATCTGAACTCTCCTGCCAAAGATTCCCCTCGAGTGTCTCAGAGGTGGCTAGTTTGTCAAGAAAGGGACTGGCTGGAGGCCTCAAGGGTGTCCAGAGGCTTGGAATGAGGAAGGTCAAAGGGGGTTAGGAGCAGTGAAGGTTGGGGGACTGGGGAAATTCAGACAAGATTGCAATCAGGAGGAGTGTCTCAACTCTTGAGCCAAACATCCTCCCCCAGGAGCCTTAGGAGAAGTTGGTATGAGGGTCTCAGGCTTGGGGTCCAGTGGTTAGGAATGAAGGGATCCCCAAAGGGTAGGCATGAATCCAGGAGTCCAGATAGGAGACTGGGAGTGAGGAAGAGCATCTTAAAGCTCCTTGGGGAGGGGTCCTCATGTCCCATGCCATTGTGTGTCCCTGCCCCCAGTCCCCTGCCACCCCCACCTTGCATGTTGTAATCAAAGGTGAGCTCCTCGCCTGCCCGGATGGTTCTGGTGGCAAAGAAAGCAATGCGGGGCAGCCGCTCATCAAGGTTGTCTATGAAGACGTTGTACACCTGGAGGTTGGGGTCACACTGGGCAAAAAAAAAAACAAAAAACGGAAGGAGGGTGAGGAGGGGCCCCAGCCTGTTCCTCCCAACCCCCTGCCCACCTGCGGGTACCCACACTGTGGTTGACAAAGTGGGAGATGTTGCCGTAATAGGCGGCGTCCACAGTGTACACATCCTCCACGTAGTCCAGGTCGAAGAGGTAGGTGGCACCCTGGCGGTCATAGATCTGGCCCCGCCGCTCTGCCTCCTCTGAGGTAATGATCTGGGGAGAAGGCCATAGGGGAGAGGAGGTTGGCCCAGAAGGTTCAGGAAAGCCAGCACAGCTCCTGACCCCCAACCTGGCCCCCTGGAGGAGAACAAGGGAGCAAGGAGGCACCCCTGTGGCTGGCTCAGCAGCAACACACAAGGGCTACCAGCCCTTCTCAGGCCTCTGGAGCGTATGGTGAGCCTCTCAATGGTAGGTGGAGGCCGGCCACAAGGTCCAGGAGTGAGAGAGAAACCCCCTTAGTGAGAGACCTACATCAAAGTTGAGGAAGAAAAAGACCCAGGGCTGAACAGAGAGGGGTGGGGAGGGTGGGAGTGAGAGGCTGATCCAGGGCAAGAGAGCCTGAGGCACTGAAAGACCCAGCACAAGAGAATCAAGCCAGTGCAGGTCAGTGTGTGTGCACTGTGTTCTCAGTCGTATCCAACTCTTTGCAACCCCATGAACTGTAGCCCGCCAGACTCCTCTGTCCATGGGATTCTCCAGGCAAGAATACTGGAGTGGGTTGCCATTCCCTTCTCCAGGGGGTCTTCCCAACCCAGGAATCAAACCCATGTCTCTTATGATTCCTGCACTGGCAGGTGAATTCTTTACCACTGTTCCACCTGGGAAGCCTATGCAAGACAGTGCAGACAGCAAAAAGCACATAGTGAGCAAGAGAGGCCTGGGGAAAGGGAGACTGAATGAATGAGAGAGAGACTCAGATGCCAGAGCCAGAGGCAGAGCAAGACACACAGAATCTTAATGCAAAGGTCCCGGGTCCAGAAAAAAGGCCAAGACCCCAGAGAGTCTGATAGCACACACACACACACACACACACACACACACACACACAAAAGGTGGAGGCTAAAAACTCAGAGAGAGAAGGAAGAGGAAAGTAAGGAAACCAGAGCACAGATGAGACCACCTCACTGAGGTCTAACATTGTGCACTGCCAACAGCTGGTATTTAAGACAGCAAGAAGCATATCCTCCTCCCCAGCTGGGTCCCCGCCTGTCCTAGTAACTGGACCACTATCCTAGCCCAGCCGGTCCTTGCCTCCCAAGTGCTGGCGACAGACTCCCCACCCCAACCCCCACCACACACCACCCCTCCTCTCTATCCCTCATGTCCCCTCTTCCTGGCCAACCACAGCCTTCTGGTAATCCCCGAACATGCTGCCTCTGGGTGAGGTCCCACCAGTAGCCGAGACTTCCCCTTCCTCAGCCTGGGTTCCCCTAGACCAGGGTCAGCCTCATTCTCCACTCCTGGGTTCTTGCTGCCTATCAGCCACAGGTGTCAGCGCAGTACGCCGCTGACCTGCAGCAGACACCTGTCGTGTATTCCGCTCTCTAGCTCGGAGCCCTGACCTCTGTCCAGCAGTGGTTCTAAAGGCAGCTCAGGTACTCTCTTTTTGCCACATCCCATCTTCCTTTCCTCTCCCTCTGTCAGAGACCACCACCCACCACTACCCTCCTTCCACACTGGACATAAGCCTGAGACCCACCCCACCCTCCTTTCTTGCTCATTCTCATGCCAGCCTGTGACCAACCTCTGTTTTCTCTAGCCTCCTCCCTGCCCCCTCCATCATCACCTCCAGCCTCTGCTCCCTGCTGAAGGCTGATCAACAGCCCCCTTAGAAGACGCAGGCTTATCCCTTGGGCCACGCTGCTCACTGCCCCATACTCCAGCTCCATTCCTTGAGGAACCTGGTTTCCCCATCCCAATTTTTGTTTGTTCACTCATTCATTCAGTGGATTTTCATGGGGCCTACCCTGTGCCTGGTCCCAGTACTCAGGAGTCACAGTTGGGTGGGGGAGACACAGGACCAGGCTGGTCCTGGCCCTCGGGGGTCATTGGCGGGAGAGTACAGGGACCAGGCCCAGTCTAGCCTTAATGGATCACAGTCTAGTTAGTGCTTAGAGCTTGAGGGGCAGTGGAAAAGAGAGATACCATCTAAAGGGAACTGCAGATCACAAAAGGGCTTTGACCAGATTGAAGAGTGGGGACTCTCTCCTGTGGGACAAAACAGGAGTCACAGAAGCACTTTGAGTAGGAGTACATCAAGGTCAGCCTCCCTCCATCTCCCAGGGAACACACTCTTCCTTCTGATGTCAGCTCCCACAGATGTCACTTATCTGTGCAGCCTTCCTGAAGCTCCCGCTCCCCACCCACCACCGCCTCTAGAAGCCTGGGATCAAAGGGCAGCCTCTCCTGGGCTCACGAGCAGACCAGGTGGTGCCTGGGCTGGTTTTTCCCTTTGGGTCCCTCCCCAGCCAGACGGAATGCCCACCTCCTCCCCAGTTTCTGTTTTCCTGTCTATTCTTCCTCTACTTGCTCCCTCAGTCTCCCCATGAGTGAGTCACACTGCAGACCCTGCAGGGCACAAATGGTTCCTTCTCGCTTCTTTTCAGCCCCACTCTGTAAGGGTTGGTCCACCCCGAAAACTTGAGACTGAAACAGTCCATGTCCCTGCTCCCTACCAGAGTGACTGGGGAAGATAGATGGGCTAGAAGCTGGCAGCTGGGAAAGGATTTTGATGGGAATGGGAACCAGAAGACTCAGAAGCCAGTTGCTGCTCTGCCCCCTCCTGGATATGGGATCCTGAATGTTCTTTCCCTGTACCTGTTTTCTCAGCCAAATAAAACAAACAAACAAACAAACCCAAACCACAACACTCCACCAGGTCTGACAGGACACCAGTTTTAGACATTTGGGCCCACTTTACTAACATGGTGACTCTGAGCACGTTACTTCTCTATGCCTCAGTTTTCTCATCTGTAGAATGGAGAGCACAATAATCCCAACTTGACACGGGCTGTTGTAAGAATCCAACAAGTTCAGATATGAGAAAGGGGTTTCTGTTTGTTTTCGTGTTAGGAGTGGCTGAGTACTGTAACTTGTCAAAATCTAACAGGCTCCCTTTTTTGTGTGCCCTTTCCCAAGAAAAGAAAATCTTCTGCTAATTAAATGATAATATGCCATCATTTAATTAAACTAATTAAAGTGAGGTTCACCTTCATTTCATAGTTGAAAAAAACATGAAGAAAGTGCATGTTTCAGAATGGATAAACTAGGCTATGTTCTCTGGTGGGCTAGGGTGGTGATGTTTCGATGAACGTGGAAGCACAGCTGGTGTGGGGACTGACAGAGCAGAGGTGGAGAGTGAACTGGGTTCCAGAGTGGAGGGGGTCAGGGGTATGCCCCCCGATTATGTAACACCCAGGAGGCCAGCACCACACAATCAAGTAAGTTAGTATTTCTGCAAAATGACGAATATGCACACCAAGTGGGGTAAACACACTACAAATAGGCATATATCCGGTCTGGTTAACTTTTGCAGACAGGTAGGCTACAGAAATTTTTGATTTCTGGGCATTTTGGATGTTCTGAATTTTGTTTGTTTTTTTGTTTGTCTTTTAATTCTACCACTTTATTGCTACTAATCCATCTCCCTCCACCCTTGTCATGTAACACGTAATGTGAGCATGTCACACACATGCTCAGTCATGTAACCCCATGGACTGCATCCCGCCAGTCTCCTCTGTCCATGGACTTTTCCAGGCAAGAATACTGGAGTGGGTTGCCATTTCCTTCTCCATGAATTTTGGACTATAATGGCTAACATTGTTTGAAGACTTACTGTGTACTGAACTCCAAATGCCTCACACATCATAACTCACTTTAGTTCTTGGAACAAGTCTATGCGGTGGGTGCTATTATCATTCCCGTTACACAGATTAGGAGACTAAGACAAACATATTAAGTGACTGCTGATGAGTGGTGGAGTTGGGATTCAGCTTCAGGCACCCAGACTCCTCTTGAGCCCTCTGCCATGCTGCCTTGTCAGAGTGGGATGCAGGGGGATGGTTTTGGACCTGGCCATGTTTGGGGGCCTGTGCTGCCATCAGGAGGCCCCATAGGTCTAAAGATGTCAGAGGTGGGCCTGGAAGTCACTGAATGTGGCAGGAGGGAAGCCAAGAAATACCTTGAAGAGAATGTGGGAAGAGTGGGAAGAGTGGGGATAGGGAATGAGAGGGTCCCCAATAACTGCCATGTTTATAGCATGGAGGAGTAAGGACACTAAGGAAGAATGGTGTGAAAAGAGTCAGGCTTGTGGGCCCTTGGGGTGCCAATGAGCTGAAGACTGTTCCTCCTCCTCGCCTGTCAGCATCTTCCTGTGCTGCTGACAACTCCTCCAGAGACGGCCAGTGCAGTGAAGCTAGGTACACCCCTGTTCTGGACTTCCTTAGGACCGCTGAGTCCTGTGGGTGTGGACACCTCCTCCCCTGCATGGCTACGACCCCTCTGGGGTGTGACATCTCTTCCACACTGTTGCTCTCCCTGTTGCTCTCCCTCTAAGACCTGAATATCTCTACTGGAGTGTCAGGGCTCTGAGGGTGTGGACACTTCCTCCAGGCTGTCAGAGCCTCTTTGGTGTACACCTGAGCTTCTTGACTGTCACTATCCCACTGGGGTGAGGACACTTCAATTTCCTGACTGTCAGGGCAGCGTGAGCATGCATACTTCTTAACTCGGACTGCCAGGGTCCTTTGGAGAGCTTGCCCTCTTCCTTGGGTCGCGCTGGGACATAGACACCTCTTCCTACAGACTATCAGGAACCCTCTGAGCTGTGGCCGCCTCCTCCTTCCTCTAGACTGTCAAGTCCTTCGACACTTGGACATTTACTCCACCCGACCCCCAGGAATGTCTGGGGTGTGGATATCTCTTTGTTCAGACTGTCAGGGTCCTCTGCAGTGTGGACTGCTCAGTCTCTAGACAGCTTCTGTTCCCCCCACCCCCTGGGGCTATGACCCTCTCTATAGTTCCCCAGGGCTTCCCAGGTGGTGCTAGTCGTAAAAAAAAAAAAAAAACAAACCACCTGCCAATGCAGATGTTAAGACATGGCTCAATCCCTGGGTCAGGAAGACTCCCTGGAGGAGGGCATGGAAACCCACTCCAGTATTCTTGCCTGGAGAATGCCGTGCACAGAGGAGCCTGGCAGGCTGCAGTCCATAGGGTCGAAAAGAGTCAGACACGACTGAAGCAATTAAGCACACACACATAGTTCCTCAGAACAGGAGCCTCTCCTTTTCATCACTGTTATCACTATAGCCAATGCTGTCACCTCCCAGCTGTATCACACCCCTAAGAGACCCACAGAAATACAGAGGTGTCTGGGGCTGTCCCTGTGACAAGGTACACTCATGGATTTAAATGGCCATGGTCCAGGGATGTTAAATGTTCCCCAATACATGAGACGGTCCTATGTAACAAACAACTGTCTCACCCCAAATGCCCACCGCGACCCACTTCAGAACTTGCTGTTGCAGACACCTGCTAGTTATTCACCCAACCCCCTTTTGTTTTCCACTTGGGCATATGGCTGAATCATGCTTCGCAGCTGCCTTTGAACTAAAGTAAGGCCCATGACTCGGTTCCAGCCAATAGGTGTGGGCAGACATGATATACACCGCATCCTGGCCCAGCCAATTAGAGACCTCCCCTTCTGCCCCCCTCAGCCCACCCACCAGGCAACACTGAGGATCAGAGGCAGCTCTAAGACATGGTAAAGGCACAAGAGGGAAAACCTAGGCGGCCACGCCATTTGGGTGGAAGGATACCACCCAAATGCCCACGTAGACAGTTACAGGAGCAAATGGATTGAGAACATGTGAAGCCCCTAAGATGTTGTCTGGCATGCAGATAGCCTGCCTAACACACCATCAGCTTTGCCCCAGTGTCCTGCAGTGGCTAGAGGGGGAGGTAGCCAACCCTGGCCCTGCTTCCCGCCCAAGGCAGACTGTGTTCCTTTTGTGCAGATTAGTTAAAAAAAAAAAAAAAAGTGCTCCTGGGCAGACACTGCCTGGTGATAAGCTGGACCCTCATGAAATGAGAAGAGGAAGTGCCTTTTCAGATGATGCAATCCTGTGCAGACCACGTGGCCTGTTAAAAGGAATGCTGCCTGGATTTCAGTTCCTGCTTACCTCTTTGCTAGGTACCCTTATGAAGTCAATCCGGTTTGAAGGTATTTCAACGTGCCTTTAACTACCAGCGTGGAATATGTGCCCCTGCCAGGATGTCCCTCTCACACTCAGGTTATCCCCTCAACCTTTCCCCCAGGGAAAGCAGGAGAGCTTTGGGCATACAGCGGGGAGAGGCAGGCGCTCAGGGTGGGAACACACAGTGGGGAGAGCCATACACACCCACCCAGCCCTGTCTCCCTACCTCTCCCACGTACTCCATGACGAAACTGTTCTTGCGGATCTTCTCCAACGTGCGGACACCCCAGCCACGTCCATCATCCGTGCGGAAGATGCAGAGGTCGTAGCGGATGCCCTTCTGTACCACGCGGTTAGGGCAGTCATAGCCACAGCGGCAGCGGGAGTTGCACTCGTAGATGGGCAGCCCGGCTCGCAGGCGCACCTGGCCCTGGTCATTGTAGGCAAACTTGTGCAGTGACGCCCCAGGGCAGCAGCCTCCAGCTGGTGCCCACAGACAGTCCTGGCACTCACAGCCCACAGCCACCTGGTTGAGGGTGATGCCCTCACCAACACGGTACTCATTGATGTACACGAAGGCCCGTGGGGGGCCATCCAGGTCTACTTCGTTCTCCACGGTGATGCGTCCCAGGTGGCTACGCTTGGCATTGAGCTCCTGCTCCCAGCGCTGCAATGCCCGCCTCTGCTTGGCCTTCTGCACCAGGTAGTTGGCCAGGCTTGGGTCCAGGTGCCGGGGTGGCTTCGACCGGTGGTGCCGCCGAAGCAGCTCCCTTTCCAAGTCCTTGTGGAACTGCTTGAGAATGCGCACACACTTGAGATTCTGCCGTGGTTCCCAGGTGCTCTCGGAGTCTGGGTACCCACGCCATTTTACCAGGTAATACTCCTGTTCCTGGGGGGGGTGGAGAAGGGGTGGGGGCACTGTAAGTGACAGATGAGACCCTTGGGCCAGCTCTTGTGGCACTTCCATCCCAACGCCTGTGGGCAACACCCAAACTGCTCCTTTCCTAGAATGACTCTTTGCAGTGATTAAAAAACATGGGCTCTCAGAGTGAGGCTCACTAGGTTCAAATCCCTATCTTCCCCTTACTATCTGTCTAAATCCAACTTTTAATTTTATCTCCCAAACCTATTCCCTCCTGCTAGCTGTTCAGCCTCACCTCTCAGAGTCATCTTTGACTCCTTTTTCACACTCCCCACATCCACCCTCAGGAAATCCTTCAAGCTACATCCAGAATCCTACACTTCAAATCTCTGTCACCACCCTCATTGCTCGCCTGGAGTGCAGCAGCAGCCTCCTCACTTGTCCCTCTGCTTCCACCCTCACCCCTAGGTCTATTCTCCACACAGCAGCCAGAAGGATCTTTTCTTACTGAGAGGCACTACAGGATAGAGTTTAACTACACAGATTCTACAACTAAACACGTTGAGTACACATCCTGAATCTGCCCCTCCCTAGTAGTGCAGACTTAAACTCAGGCAGTTATTTAACCTCACTGGGCCTCAGTTTCCTCATCCTGTGAATAAGAAAAAAAGAGCAGATATTTGTCTAGCATTCATTATGTAGAAGGTACTGTTCTAAGCAACTTATATGTATTATTAGCTAATTTAACCCTCACAACTCTATATAAGGTAGATACTTCTAATTATCCCCGTTTTATAGATGAGGAAAATGAAGTACAGAGAATTGGGGTAAGTTTTCCAGGGTTACACAGCCTGGATGTGAACTGAAGCATGCTGGCTCCAGGCTGTTCTCTTAACTGTCCTGCCATTATCTACTCCGGCAACAGTAACAGTTGCTATTTTACAATGTTGCTGGTGGGATTAAACTAGTTTCTTTTTTTTTTAAACAAGTTTCTAAAAGAAAGTGCCTGGCACACAAAGTGCTCAAAACCATTCAGTTCAGTTCAGTCCCTCAGTCCTGTCAGACTCTTTGTGACCCCATGGACTGCAGCATGCCAGACTTCCCTGTCCATCATCATCAAAACCATTAGCTATCATTATCTCCACTCCTGGGCTCAGCATCTCAATCTTTGCAATTGGTTTGTATTCAGAGGGAGGTGGGAGGAGAGATTTATTTAGGGATTCTTTCTTTCCTTCTCAGAAAGCCACTTGGTTTTCCCACCTGTAAAATGGAGATGATAAGAGGGCCTACTAATCCTACCTTTTTAAGATCAGAGGAGAAAACTGCTTTTGGAAACAGATGTGGGTAATGGGGGAGGAGGGGGGCAGGAAGCCAGCTTCCTTGAGTCACCTCTGCCCTGGCCACAGTCACCCCAGACTCACGCGGATCTTTTTGTAATCGCACAGGTACTCGACTTCAAAGTCATAGAGGTTCCTCTTGGAGACGCCAAGGGCAGGACAGGAGAGCTTGGCCAGGCGGCACAGGTCCTGTAGCTGATTCCAAGAAGATTTGCAACACACACTGCAGCCTAGAACAAAGAGGACCAGGAAGAACTATTGCTGGGCATCCTGGTGAGGCCAGGGGTCAAAGAGGACCCCAAATCGTCCCTGGGACTTCCAAAGGACTACCTCAGAGTCAGTGAAATTTAATCCACAGGTCTTCCCAATGCTAAGACCCTTCTACAACAAAGATGTGCCACTCCCATCTACCCCAGTGCCCACTGTCCACGGCTTACCCTGGAGCAGCAGACTTCTAAGTGGTTTCTGCTGCATGGATCGGATCGTCCTAAAGGAATCTATTCCCCACCCCTCCTCCGGAGCTTCCAGCTCCCTCTATATCATTCTTTAAACTGCCTGCAAACCTCCTTGGAGTTCAGGACCTAACTGTCATTCTCCCCACTTTGCAAAGAGAAAATCCCCATCTCAGTAGGGTGCACTGTCCCATGGTGGGTGGGTAGGGATGGAATTAAAGCCTCCAGGGCACCAGACAAAGGCATTAACTGGAAAGACTGGTCCACAATCTCATCTGTAACTCCTGGTGCCAGATGTTTTAGAATCCAAATTCCTTTTGGGGGATTTTACAGGTGTAGTTCTAGGTATATCCCCTACATTCCCTAACATTACAGCCCTAGTGTGGTCAAGGGCATCAAGCCATAATCAAACACATTAATAGTTCTGCAGAAAAAGTGAATTTTCACACTGAATAAGAGAAAGATGAAAGATAGTGGCAGTGATAGCCTCATTTTGCCACTGAATGACACCAAATTTAAGCTTTCAGGGCTTTTTAGATTTTGGAATTAAGAATAAGAGATTGTGGAGTGGTACTATTAGATTATAGGAATCGTCCCCAAATGATTCATGTGGGTGCCTTAAATCCATAAGATATATTTTTTCAGGCTGCATTTTGATTTTGTCTCATTCATATTTCTGTGAAGGGTAAAGCTCGCCCAAAGGAGTGTGCTCTGAATTCAAGAACAAACAGAACAAATAGGTTAGTGGAGGGGGGGAGGGCTACCACAATTTTTCAGGACAGATTTTTTAATCTAAAAGACTTCTTTTGGTTCAAGGCATGTTCTTGATTGCTGTGCTTTAGAAGCCATTTTATGAAATCATTTCACAAAACCCTTGTTCCAAATGTAATCAGTCCTCATCCTACAAAACCCTTGTTCCAAATGTAATCAGTCAGTCCTCATCCTGTTTCATCTTTTTAAAATGTTTAATATTTTCTACCTTCCATTACAAAACCCGAAACTCATGGTGAAATACTCTAGATGTCAACCTACAAATGTACAAGAGCTTTGCAAAATTATTACGTGTGCATTTCCACCCCTCCTCTTAGACAGGCCTAGTGGAGACTCGGCCTGTACCCACGCCTTCCTTTCCCTATGATGCCTCTCCCTTGCAAACTTGCATTTGAAGCCCCAACTAATGTGATCCCAACTCACATATACTGCTGTCTCCGCACTGACCACAGGTGGACTCTCCTACCCTCAGAGCTCCCCCTGACACCTGTGGAACCCATCCTCCCCGCAGCTTCCCTCATCCAGAGGGGCCCACCTTCCCCAACACACTGAGTCACCCCTCTTTGCCTGCGCATAAGGGAGCCCAGCTCTCCCATTAGGAAAGCCCTCTTCCCCTCTTCCTGGGGGAGTTCTCTCTGCCGCAAATCCTTCCCCCATCACGCTGCGAGCAGATATCCTCCCCCTGAAGAATCCCCTGTCCCCCAACTCTGAAAAGGAGGTCCGTCCCCTTCCCTCCCCTCCCCTTCCGGCGTCTCGCGTGGACACCAAGAGGGTAACGGTCACCGGCGGCCAATTTTCCCGCGCGCGGGCGCGGCCTCCCTCAACAAGCCCCCGCGCGTGCGCGCGCCGTCCGGTCGCAATATGCGGCGCGCGCCCCCCTCTCGCGTCCCCACTTAGCCCCGCGCCCGCCGCGTTCCAAGGCACGCGCCCCCTCCCCTCAGCCCCGCCCAGCCCCGCTCGCCAGGCCCGCGCGCCTCGAGCCCCAGCCTTCTGGCACCGATCTTCCGGCTCCCGGCCTGGTGGCCTCGGACGCCGGGGGCCCCGAGTCCGCGACACCACCCCTCCAGCCCACCCAGCCTGCCAGCGGGCCCGCATCGCTGCCGCCACTGCTTCACCTTTTAAATTTTCCGCCATCTTTCCCCACGGCTAACGACATTCGGGCCTAACCGGCCTCGCGAGAAGAGAGCTCGCGCGGGCGTGGCCGAGAACGCGCAGCCTATTGGCCGCGCCGCGCAGCGAGCAGCGCCTGCGCGGACCAACCGGCGAGCCGTGACCGGACCCCTCCCAGCCACCCGGCTCGGTCCCGAAGGCGGGTGCTCGCCAGTGTTTTGCGAGAGTGCGTCTTGAGGGGCGGCAGCGACAGTGGCAGCAAGGGCGGCTGAGGTTGCCGGAGGCCCTGCCCGCACGCCGGTCTGTCTGTCACGCTGTCAGCCAATCACGTTGTCAGCCAGCCGCAAGAGGGGATTCTCCGTACTGTCAGACCCCCAATTACCTCCGTCAGTCAGTCCGTCACCATATTTTAACCCCACGCAGGCCGTGACTCCCCAGGTGGACTACCGCCGCATACAGCTGCTCGGGCAGTCACCCGACTGAAATCCATCACCGCTACCACTGTCTCATCAGACCCCCGCCCGCCATTCACGCTGTCAGTCTGTCAGTAGCAGCATCCATTCTTGCTTTCAAGCCAGCTGCGAGGCCCCGGAGGCAGACAAACGGCGTTGACAACAGCTATGCTGCTGTCAGCCAGCCTGTCATTCCCTTAGACTGTCCCTTCATCACACCATCAGTCTGTCCAGTAGCCAGGCTCTCCATCTACCCTGGCCCTGGGAGCAGCTCCGAATTCCCTGGGGGAAATCATCTCACCACCGCCCAGGAAGCCAGCTGGGCCCTCCGGCTGGCTGTGATTATGTCAGGACAGGCTGTCATTGTCACCATCGAATGTAGCCCTGTCGTGTGGGCTACACTCTCCACTGTCAGCTGGTCACTCCGTAATTCTCTCAGGTTCCTCCCCATTCATGCCAGGATCAGGCAGTTTATTCCCCCAGAGCAGGTACTCACAGCAGCTAAAGCCTCCAGGCCACCTGTCAGTGGCCAGCAATCTGCCATTTCTCAGGCAAGGCATACTCTCCATTGGTCGATAAGTCAGCATTCTCTGACCCCTGGGCCCTTTAGGGTGGATGTGATTCTGTCTGCGGATAGCCATGGTTTCAGGCAGCTACACTGATTTTTCAGTGGGCCAGCTGGCCTGTGAATCATTCAGTCTGCCCCTTGTATCAGTCAACCAGGTAGCCATTCTCAATATCTGACTGATCACACGGTCTGTCAAGCATGCTGTGATTTGTTCACAGTAGACAGTCAGTCACTAGATATAGTTGCCTATCAGGCAGCCACAGAGCTGTCCCATCAGTCAACCTGAAATTCCCTCAGGGTAGACCTCCTTTAGGGGCTTCCCAGTGGCTCAGTAGTAAAGAATTTGCCTGCCAAGGCAGGAGATACAGGTTCGATCCCTGGGTTGAGAAGATCCTCTGGAGTAGGAAATGATAACCAACTCTAGTATTCTTGCCTAGAAAATTCCATGGACAGAGGAGTCTGGTGGGCTGCAGTTCATGGGGTCGCAAAGAGTAGGACACGACTGAGCGACTGAGCAGATCTCCTTTACACACTCCCAGACAGTGTAACATCCACACACACCCTCTGGTGTGATTCCTAGCAATAGTCAGCCGTTCACAACATCCGGCTACCCAGGCAGGCAGCAACAGCATGGGTCATCAGTCAGTCAACCTGTAAATCCCTCAGGAGGCTGCCTCTCTTTTGCACCATCAGGTCATCAGCCCCAGCCAGTCCCAAGCAGGCTGTAATTCAGTCAGATTTTAAGTAGCTCACAGTGTCAATAAACCATGCTGTCATTTCCTCAAATTGCCCCTCTCCCTGATGCTCCATGCTTTATGTAGTCAACCAAATGGTTATTCTGTGCCTGCCAGTCCAACTGTGAGCCAGCTGGAGAAATGACTGGTCAGGATGAGGTTCCATTAGCCCCTGCTTGCCATGGGTGGAACAGTTAACAGTGGAAGTCTCACCGTGAATTCTTCTTCTCTCCCTTATTACTTCTAGAACAGTCAGATGCTGGTCCTCACATGACCCCAGTCTCCCCAGGCAGGCAGGACCATCCCACTCCTAGGAGCCAGGAGGCCTGTCCAACCCACAAAAGTAGTTTAAGGCATGAGCTCTTTCTTTTTCTTTTCTTTTTCTTTTTTTGGCATGACCTCTTTCTGCCTGAATCTGGGGAAGATGTAGTGGTTTACAGGTGTTGGGGACCATCCCTCAGTCTTCCCTAAATAGGATAGTATAGTGGGTAAAGGCTTGGATTTTAGAGCCCAACTACCTTGGTACAGTCCAAGCTCAACCCTTCACTAAAGTGGGACCTTAGGCAGTTTCTTCATCTGTAAAACCTTGGATGAGTGACCTTGGGGTGGGTATCTCTTGCTCATCTGGGAAATGAATCTTTCTGGGCTAGCACCTTTTTAGGAGACCTCAAAGTAAGAAAAGACCCTATTATTACTGTGTCCTACACCCAGCTGCTCATCTGTTCACTCAGCATTAATTTAGTGCATACTCTGTAGACTACTTCTCCCAGTGCAGGGCCAATACAAGATTTTATCCTTTCCACAAGTTTGACTGGCTTTTAATATAAACCTCACATTGGAGTGTACCACACATACAGAAAAACAAGGAGACCATGGGTGGTGACCCCGTGTAATGAATTTCACAAATGAACATACATGTGGAATCGGAATTCAGGTTAAGAAACAACATTGTCAGCCAGGGCCCTAGAAGCACTTAATTGTTTCACATCTCCAAAATCAGACTGTCTTAAAAGCACTGATGGGTCATAACTTAACTGGAAGTACTTTTTTTTGGTCTTTTTAAGTGATATATAGAATAATGGTGCATTGTATAATCAGTGGTGACTCAGGATCAGCGACACCCAATAAAAAAATGGTAACAACAGCAGAAATAGCATCTCATGTTTATAAATGCCTACAAGGAGCCAGGAACTTTGCAAACACTATCTACTTTCATTCTTGTCACAACCCCATGATTACAGTAAGCATTTGTATCTTCATTTTAAAGACTGAAGAAACTGAGACCCAGAGAGGTCAAGCAACTTCCCCATAGTCAACTCTTTTACCCCACATCTGTGCTTGCTCTAGCCAATGCTCCTGGGGGTTCAGAGGTTGTGTGATGTAAGGTCTTTTCCAGGATAAAGCCTGCCCAAAGGGTTATGGAACTCTGGATTTGGCGGGGGTAGAAGTGATATGACAGGCCCTTCCTAGATTCAGTGCTTGCCATGGGAACCCAACCAGGGTGGGGTGGGGAGGGGAGTAAAGGATGAAGAATAATGAAAGAATTCAAGGGAACCCAGGACTCCCTCCTTCTCCAGCTTCCATGGCTGCAGGGAAATTCTTAAGGGGCAAAGTCAGCTCCTACTCCTTATACCTCCACCCTCCTCTAACCCCTTAAGCTGCCCTTGGATGGTTCAGAAATTCTTGCACTGATCCTGCAGATGGAAAAAGTCTGCCCCCTTTGAATTCCCCCTCACCTTTATTTTCCTCCCCGCTCTCTTCCTACTCTGAAGGTAGGAAACCTGAGATCTTGCATCCACCAGGTTTCAGAAATGGGAAGGGGTAGACCCCTCTATTCTAGGCTTTGATGTACAATAGTTTCTAATTACTCCCTTGGAAACAGCTTTGAACACCAAGGACAGTTTTGAGTTGGGCCTTTTTCACTCTCTGCAGAGCAAGTTATAGAGGAGGAGGGTGACCCAGTAGGATGCCAGTTGAAAATTAGGTTACATATTGTTGCCCCCATTGTATAGATGAGGAAACTGAGGCTCAGAAGTGAGGCATCTTGCCTGGGATCTAGAGCAGATCTATGTGATTATTAAATCTTTGCCTCTTTCATTGCCGTTGGCCAGGACTTAGATTGCACTGGGAACCAGGCAGAATCAAATTTTGGCATTGAGAGGGGGATCCTGGCCCAGCAGGATCCTAGTGTCGGAGTTGTGTGGATGGAGAGTGGGAAGTCTGATCATTAGAGTGCTCTCTTGATCTAATACTGTGTTGATTGCAACTTTTTTAAAATAAGTATACAAATAACTCTCACTCATTCACCACATTCAGCCTCACACCAAGCTTTTTCCCATCTCAGGGCCTTTGCATTGGCTGTTCCCTCTGCCTGGAAGACCTTTCCCTCTAAATATTCACATGGTTGATTCCTTTCTCTTTAGGTCCAGCATAACTGTCACCTCCTCCAAGTGGCTTTCCCTGAACTCTCCATCCTACCATCACTTCCCCTCAGCACAACATAGCTCTTAACATGATCTGTAACTCTTTTTGTTTTTATTTAATTCCTTGTTTCTTGTCTATCTCCTGCCCGAGAATGTTGACCTCACAAGACTAAGAACTTTTGTTGTTTGTTTCGCATTGCTTTATCCCCAGCCCCCAAGGTAGTGCCTGGCAATAAATATCTGTGGAAAGAAGGAAGGACAGAAGGAAACAAGAAATACAGACTAAATGACCAAGGGAACAAATGAATGAATAAATATATATATGTAAGGCTAAACAAATGAAATGGGAGTAAAAGGGACTTTGGGGGAAAAGGACCCCAAATTCTCATATTTGGTAGGTAAAGAAACTGAGATTTAAAGAAACAAAAAGACAGTTATTTTATTTTTGTTTAAAAATCCTTGAATGAGGAGAACTGAGACATTTTATATAAAAAGGTCCTTGGCTATTGCTAGGGTGAGTGTGTGTGGGAGGAGGCCAGTCAGAGATAACAGCATTGGAGGGGGGGTGGGAAAGAAATGGGGCTTGGGGGCCTGGAAGTTAAGTGGAGGGTGGCAAGGAGGGCTGCCAGGGGAGCCCAGCACAGAACAGTGGAGGTGGTGGTGATTCAGTCGTCCCATTCATCATCATCGTCATCATCACCGGCCTGGTCCTCCCCTTCGTCTGGAGGGAGAGAGAAAAAGTGGAACTCAGGATGGGTAGGAGGGTTCAAAAACCCTGGAGAGAGGAGTTACTAGGGTCTGGGAGGTTGGGATTACTAAACCCTGGGGCCTGAGATCTCCCACTTAGAAGTTAGATCTGAGGTCTGTGTGTTGGACAAAGGGACCTCCTAAGAGGAGGGAGAGTTAGGGGCAAGATAGGGACTATAGCTGGGGTCTAGGTTCTAGTTGGAGTCGAGGTTAATATTATTATCAAAAATGTGTGGTTAGTTGGGATATTATTGTCACACAAAGGGTTACTTTTAACAGGCTTGTCACTCAACGGAGTGGATTTAAATATTAGCAAAGGTGGAGGAAGTTACAATGTTGTTTTTTCATAGTGGGTTAATGTTAACATTGTTGACACAGAATGGGGTTAGTGATGATGTCATGGTCAAAAGATAAGGTTTGTTATAATTCTGGCATATGATGGATTCCTATTGATCTGTGAACAGACTCGGGGGGTTGATGTCAGTATTATTGTCAAAGCTGAACTTTAATTATATTATTGTCACACAGTAGGTTGAGGCTAATACTCTCTCTTTCTCTGCTCTGCTCAGTTGTGTCCGACTCTTTGTGACCCTTTGGACTGTAGCACACCAGGCTCCTCTGTCCATAGGATTTTCCGGGCAAGAATACTGGAGTGGGTTGCCATTTCCTCCTCCAGGGGTTCCTCCTGATCCAGGGATCGAACCCATGTGTCCTGCGTCTCCTGCATTAGCAAGCAGATTCTTTATCACTGAGCCACCTGGGAAGCCCTGAGATAATAGTATCCTCATATAATTCTCATATAATGACAATGTTGTTGACACATTAGGGGCTAACTTTAACACTATTGTAAAAGATTGAATTAGTTATAATATTGTCACTTAATGAGTTAATCTTTTGACACATGAAATTAGAGTTAATATTAGTGTCAAAGAAGGGGTTCTTTATAATATCATCACATAGTGGGTTAATGTTAATACTATTGAACATATGGGATTAATGTTAATATTGTCAATGAGAGTTAATCATATTACTGTTACATAATGACAGTTAACACTGTCAAAAAGAGACTGGTACAGATTCATGTTCATTCTCTCATCAACAGATGGGACTAATTGCTGGTGGCTGTCGGGGGTGTTTTTAGGTCAACACTAGCTGGGAACCAAGGCCACAGGTCCTGGCAGGATGGGCTCTGAATGGCAGGCTCACGGAGGATGCACTCTCACCAGAGGAATGGATGGCTTTGCTTCTCTTCTGCATCACATGCATCAGGGCACCCACCAGCCCCTCTGAGCTCTGAGGTGGTGGCTGCAGTGCTGAGCTCTCTGGGGCCCCAGGGGTCTGCAGCAAGAAGGATGCAGCAAAGAGGGCTCAGGGCCTGTGAGAGGAGCACTTCTCCCCACCCCTTCATCATTCTTTCTCCTCCCACATACTCTAGTTGCCTTGAAACTCACCTCTGCCCACCAACCTCCCAACCCTATCAGTGAACCCCCAAATCGTGGGACCCCCATTACTCTCAGCCCCAGCCCCCTGCCATCCTCACTTGCACAGCACACCCCAAAGTCCCAGTTCCCCAATCCTCCATCACACTGGTCCTCACCTTGTTCAGCTGAATTCCCTGCCGGATTTGATCCAAAAGTGCCCCCCGACCCCCACCAGGGGCCGGGCCCCCCACAAGCCCCAGAGAAGGAGGGGGTGGGGGAGGGATTGGTCCATCCCCAGAGCTGGGTGGTGGCGGTGGTGGTGGCGGTGGTGGCGGAGGCATGGGCGGTCCACCCCCAGCTCCAGAGGGTGGAGGGGGCGGTAGCACAGAGCGTCCAGTGGCTGGAGGGGGTGGTGGCGGAGGGCCCCCTCGGCCCGGGGGTGGGGGTCCCCGGGGAGTTGGTGGGGGAGGAGCACCTCCCGAAGGTACAGGGGGCAGAGGGCCAGAGCGACCCTTGTTGCTCCCCACAGTTGGGGGCCGGGGGGGCTGGTTCCCTCCTCGGGATGGCGGTGGGGGCGGTGGAAGTGGCTCTGAGGGGAAAGACAACACATAGCTGTTATTATAGTTTTCTTCAGAGCCTCAGTTTTGCTTACTTGTAAAATGGGTACCCCAACCAACCAACTCCCGATTCAAGCAGTATAGGGGTTTCTATGAGGACTGAGAGCCTGCAATGTATCTCTTAGAAATCAGCTACCAGGGTTGGAGAAGAAAAGGGGGTCCAGAAAGGAGGGGCTCACCCTGGCGCCTCATCTCCTTCCGCACAGCTTCCATCCCACCCTGGTTCTCAATGAAGTCATAGATAAATTTGGAGGTCTCAGCATCGGTGAGCTGGGCATCACTGATTCCCGCCCTTGAGAACAGGCTCCGCAGATCTGGGTCCAGGTTGTTCACCTTCCCAGGAGGAAAAAGGCCCCGGCAAGGGTCGGGGAATAAGGTGGGGAGGGGAGGGGCTCAGATTATCAGGGGGTCCACCCCAGAGAGGGATCTGAGAGGAGGGTAGGAAGGATGGGGTCTGGGGGGTAGATCTGGAGCTGTGGACTATGGAAGGGTAGGCAGGAGTTGAGTGGAGTCCGGGGGACTCTGGAGTTACTCACGTCAAATCCATTCTGGGGGTCCCACCCCACGTGGCTGACATGTCTGAAGGAGGTGAGGAGACCCCAGTGAAGCGCCATGGCCGTTCCTTCCCTCCCTTCCTAGTGAAGCTCTCTTGCCCTCCCCTGCCCAGAGGGACTCTCAGGAGCCAGAATTAATGAGTCTTAAGTGAATGAATGAGTGAGAGTAGTAGTTATGGAACTAAAGAGGGTCCACAGTTTGTGGTGCCCATCTGTCTGCCCATCCCTCTTCCCACCATCCATCCACCCATCTATTTGTCCACCTAGCCGTTCACATTCACCTGTCAGACCACTGATCTATATATATTTGTCTCCCCACTCATCTGTCCACACACATTTATTTACCCATTTATCCACCAATCTGTCCTAACCCACACTTGTTCATCCACCCATCCATCTACCCATATGCCCATCTTTCCATTCATTCACTCACTGACTACCCATTCAATCACACACTTCTTTGTAGCCACTGAATTGTCCTTCATCCACATATGTGGCAACCTATCCATCCCCATCCACCTTGTATGTGAACCCATTGACCTGTATATCATTCTGTCCACATACTCATCCACTCACCCACCCATCTACCTACCCACTTCCCATTTATCCGTCCATTCATTCTCCAACCCAACCATTCATTCATTCATCCATCTATCTATCTACCCATCCATCCATTCACCCACCAGCCCGACCAGGGAGGGACTAGGTTGAGTGAAATGCCTAGGGAGCAAAATTTAAGGAGGCACTCACTCTTGGAGTCATGTATTATACTTGGGTGATGTGGTGGAGAGTGACTGCCTCTGTAAAATTTGCAATCTTGATGCCTTTGGTATCTTTCCCTAGTCCTAGCTTTGCACTCCCCCACCACCCATCCACTCATCTGCCTACTCTCTCACCTACCCATCCATTTTTCCATCCTTCCATTCACTCAGCTCTCTTCCTATCCACCTGCTCATCTGCTCCCCCACCCCCAGGATCCATGGGCCCACTGGAGAGAGGTTCTCACTTGAATCCACTGGGTGCACCAATATCAGACTTGCTGATCTTTTTCTTCCCTGAGCGTTTCTTATCACCTGGGCCAGGCCCAGGTGCTGGGAGCGAACGGTATCGTGAATTCGTGATGTCTGGGTTCTGGATGTCCACTGTCACCAGCCCCAGAGACATTGGGCTGGCTGCTGGGCCTGTGGGGAAAATGGGTGACTGGGCTATTGACCCATTTACCTACCAACCAGAGCATAAGAGTTAGATAGGAAGACGGCTGGGGGAATGTGTGTTAGATGATCATGGAAGGAGTGGGTGAGGGGTCCAAGTAGGTTTACGGAGAAGTGGGTGGGTAAGTCCTGCACACCATCCATACATTCACTGATTCATTAATTAATTTACTCACACTTAAGTATTGACTCATTTATTCACTGGCTCATTGACTAATTTGTTAAATTATTCGTTCATTCAATCATTGCTTTCTCCACTGATTGAAATTTTGTCACTTATTCATTTATTCACTGTTGAATTCATTCCATCACTCATTCATTAATTTACTCAATCATCCATCCATCTATTCATCCATTCACCCACATACCCATTCACCTACATCTATACACCCACCTGTACATCTACATCCTTCCATCTTCATGCCCTCATTTAACCATCTGTCCACCACCAATCCATCCACCCACACACCTATCTACCTATTCATTCACCTGTTTATCACTGCACCCACCCATCTACTCATTTATCTACCCACGCCCCACCTGTGTATCTATTCATTCCCCCACTCCTTCCATGACCATCTAACACACTGATTCCCCCAACCATCTTCCTGTCTCTAACTCTTATGCTCTGGTTGGTACGTAAATGGGTCAATGGCCCAGTCACCCATTTTCCCCACAGGCCCAGCAGCCAGCCCAGTGTCTCTGGGGCTGGTGACACCTGCCCACCCAGAGACACAGGGAAGATTCAGCACTCACCCCCTTGGTCTCCACCTGGGTGCGGGGGCAGGGGTGGGAGCCCTCCTCTTCTCTCTGGGAAGATGGAATGGATAGAGAACTATCACAACTCTGCCTCAGTTTTCTGTGCTAGCCCCTTATTACTCCTCCTTGCACTAGAGGACTCACCTTCACTGACTGGCGCTGGTGGAGGCGGGAGCTGGCGCCTGTCTGTTGAGAGACAGAAAATCAGAATCAGGAGAGGGGCTTTTCCAGCTCCCCACTCTTGCCCTCACTTCTGCTCAACCTCTTTCCCTTCCCCAAGGCCTCCTTACCCCCGCTTTGCCTCTGATTCCGTTTTTGTATCTTCTCCTGCACCAGGTTCCGGAAGGCCTGGGCCTCGCCCTCGTCTGCAAAGTTCAGCCCCGCTTGGCAGTCCTGCACATGCCTGGAGGGTCAGCTGCCTTCCAGACCCCCCCCACACACCTTTCCCCTCTCCTCCTTGCACCCCAACTGAGGCCCATGGTTCAGGTGGTCACTTACATCTCCAGCAAAGGTGTGGAAAAAGGGGGTGGGAGCAGAGTAGACCAGCTGTGAGTACAGCTCCTGTTCCCACAGCAGCCGGCCAGCCTGGAGAGGGGGAGCACACTGGCACCAAGGCACGCCTGGGTGGCGGGCCTCTGTTTTCCAGATAGGGAGCGTGGTATACAAATTTGGAGCCCCAGAATCTGATTTGGAGATTTCCAGCTCAGAACCGGAGAGTTGGGAATCTAAGAGTCAGATGTGGGGGATTAGGGTACAGTATGGCAGTCAGACACTTCAGCGAGAAACTTGGATTTGGGGTCCAGATGTGGAATATGAGGGCTTGAATTTGAGGATTTTGGACTCTAGTTCTAGGAAACTGAGTCCATTCAGAGAATCTGTCCCAAATGCCCCCCCCCCTTTTATGGGGGCCTTCATTAGGGCGGGTAGGGTTCCAGTATTAGGAGTTGGGATTGAAATTTGAGGTTCAGATATACAGACTTGGGAAGGTTTTTTGGAGGGGGTTGAGCCAGTTTGAGCTTTGTAGAGCAGAGTTATGAATTAGGAGTTTGGTCAATATTTTTTGACTCTGGGATCTTGATGTGGTTCTATTGGATCTATATCGGTTTAGTGGGATGAATTTGGGGTTTATGCTTGGAGAATTTAGGTTAAGTGTTTGTGGAATAGGTTTTTGACTTAGGAGCTATCTCAATATTTAGGTGATTAGGAGTTTTCATATAGGAGTTCTGGGATCCAATGCTGTGGGCTTAAAAGGACAGATTTGGGGTTGAAGATTCAATGGCATACTTAGGTTTGGGATTTGTGGAACATATTTATGGCTTAGAAGCTAGGCAAAATTCTGGAGTTCAGAAGTACTGATGGGAGGTTTCTGTGACCTAAAATGTGGAGTTTTGAATAGATATGAGGTTCAGGTAAAAATTTGGAATGTATATACATATGTGTGTGTGTGTGTGTGTGTGTGTGTGTAGTTTGTGGAACAGATTAGATTTAGGGGGTATACTAATATTGGGGGTTATAGATCTTGACACGAAGACTCTGGGGTCAGTCATCACAGGCTTAGAAAGACAAACCAAAGGTTGGCATCTGGATGAAGTCTTTGGTTCTGGGGCTCAGGGGGTTCACTGATCTGTCTGAGGGCTCTGGATTATGGACACAGATCTGGGTTTATGGGTTGAAAACTGGGTTGTCTGTCCAGTGGGGGGTGGGGTGGGGATCACCTGAAGGCCATAAAGGCGGATGAAGTAAGACTTCTTGGGGTTATCCTTCACGAAGCACACAGCCCCACAGTGTCCCTTGGTCCAGTGCTCAGCTCCAGGGGGCAGCGCCAGGTACAGCTGAACAACCGCAGTCGCCAGCGTCTGGGAGGGGAGAGTAGGACTCGTTGGAATCCAGTCAGGGGGAGCCAGAGGGTCTGGGAACCAGACCTGGTCCTTTCTTGCCTGTGGCCATCATGGCTCCAAAGGAAGAGCCACAACCAGAGTGAAAGTGAATGAACACTGAGTTCTTCCTGGGATTGGTGAATGGGGGTAAGTGGATTCTGAGAGGAGATGATGGAGAGGAAGAGGAGGAGAAGGAGAGGAGGATGGGAAAGATGAGGAGAGAGGAAGGGGAGGAAAGGAGGAGAGGGAGAGGATGGGGAAGATGAAGAGGACGAAGAGGAGGAGGAGAAGAGGAGGAGAGGAAGACAGGGAGGGCCAGAAGATCACCAGCTCACCCAGCACTTCCGTCCGAGCATCTCAAAGAGTTGTTGGTTCTCATGGTCCTGGAGGAGGGTGGACGGGATGTTCTGCTGACCCCCTTGTCCTCCGCGGCCCCCAGGCCTGCCTCCCGAAGGGCCCCCACTCATGGTGCCTCCTGCCCTTGTCCTCTCCGGCTGGGCTGAGTGCAGGGTAAGAAGAGGAACTTCCGCAGTGAGCGGGGGAACAGGAAGTGCAAAAAACCACAAGGGAAACAAGTCCTCTAGGGGCCCCTCAGTAGGCCTGGCCTCCTCCTCCCTTAGACTGGGGCCCTCCTCCATTTGACTGGATAGATCCATCTTTTGGACCAGGTTTTGTCCTCCTTTCTTATTCTCTGGGGCCCATCTCCCTCTGACTTGCTTGGACCCTCCTCCCTCTGGTTGACTGGCAGTGAGGGATAGGCCACTGCAGCATTTCTGCAGTGTTACGGGGGGCAGTCATGGGCTGAGTGGCCTTCTTCCTCCCCAAAGCATCCAGTTAGTCTGGGCCCAAGGTCCAAGGCTCTGGTGCTGAAGGGTTATTGCACTAAAGCTTTTCCTTTAATTACATAGCAAGCACCTGGGACCCCCCACCTCTCCCTTGAGACCCCAACTCGCTCACACCTGGCTCAACTTCCCCATCCCTACCACACCATCTCATTTAACTGCTGTTGCTTCTGAACTTTTGAAAGTGTGTAATCTTTGGAGTCCTGTCTTTACCCCCACTCAATATTCTATGTTTTATTTACTTATTTAGGCTCTTTGCGGTACACGGGCTTCTCTTGTTGCAGCACAAGGGCTTCGCCTTGTGTTTGGGATTCTCTTGTGATGCAAGTGCTTAGTTGCCCCTTGGCATGTCAGATCTGAGTTCTTTAACCAGGGATCAAACTCACATCTCCTGCATTGGAAGGCAGATTCTTAACCACTGGAACACCAGGGAAGTCCCTCAACATTCTATTTTTATCTAACAAACATTCATGTAGCACTGAACATGTGTGCCAGGCACTCTTCTGACCTCTTTGTAAATATTGACTTATATAAATCCTCCTATTGGCCTGGGGGACATACTCTATTTTTACAATTTGATGGAGGGAAACTGAGGCCCAGAGTGGTTAAATGATTTCCCCAGTAGCTCCGAGCTAGCATGCCAGGCAGGTTGGTTAGTGTGCACTTTTCATCAAGATGCTACACAGCCTGCTCTGTTACTAAGATTCATATTTGCCTGTAGCAGTAGTTGTTACTGCTATATAGCATTCTGTTGTGTTACTATGCGTGCGTGTGCATGCTAAGTCGATTCAGTTGTGTCTGACTCTTTGTGACCCCTTGGACTGTAGCCTGTGAGGCTCCTCTGTCCATGGGATTCTCCAGGCAAGAATACTGGAGTGGGTTGCCATGCCCTCCTCCAGGGGACCTTCCCAACTCCAACAGGGATTGAACCAGCATCTCCTGCAGGAGACATTGCAGGCAGATTCTTTACCACTGAACCACCAGGGAAGCCCACATTGTGTTACTAGACAATTTGTTTATTCATATTCTCCTGTTAACAGATATCTGACCTGTTTCTGGCTTTCGTGGTTGGCAGCAACGCTGCCTTGTTCGCTCCTATATGCATCTCCTGGTCCAAATAGGCAAGTACACTCTCAGGAGGGGAATCGGGGCATTGGAGGACTTGCATAGCTCGAACTTTGACAGACTGTTTCCCCAAGAGAATGGCAGCTTGGTCCCCACTCCTCCCTGGAGCTATTTCCTATTTGGAGATGTGAAGTTTTCAGGTACACATACAGCAGCTTGAGGGGAGCTAAGCAAATCTGGGGTGTGTCTGGCATTCCCATATACCTGAAGGGAAACAGCACATGTCAACTTGGGACCCACAGTCCTACCTGGAAACCTGTATGGCTCCCATGCCTGCAGGTGCCAACCTTCTCTCCTAAGCCAAGGCTCAAACCCACTTGTGTTAGTTGCTCAGTCGTGTCCAACTCTGCAACCCCATTCATGGACTGTAGCCCACCAGGCTCCTCTGTCCATGGAATTCTCCAGGCAAGAATACTGGAGTGGGTAGCCATTCCCTTCTTCAGGGGATATTCCCGATCCAGGGATCGAACCTGGGTCTCCTGCATCGCAGGTGGATTCTTTACCATCTGAGCCGCCAGGGAAGCACCATCAAAGCCACTTCCAGTGTGGCAATTTCAGCCTCCTTCCCTCCTTTCTCTGCTCACCAACCAGCATATGGTGCTTCCAAGTCACCGGGCAGTTTCATACCTTCTGGTCTGGAATCCCTCCAGCTTGTCCACTAGGGCAAGCACCTGTTTTTTCCTTAGAAAGTCACTGCATTCACTCATGTTGACATTGTTTGTTGAGCTCTCACTGTGTGCCAGGCACAAACTAGACACTCAATAAATGTTTCTTGAAGGAATTAGTGAGGGATTAATATCTAATTTGATATTTTTCTAAGTGCCTCACACTTATGTACTTATTTCACATGCACAGACGACCCCAGGAGGTGACAGCTTCAGCTGTTTCCATTTTACTGATAGGGAAGCAGTGGCCCAGAGTATCTTAGCTAAGTTGCCCGAGGTCACACAGCTTGTGAGAGTTGAAGCTGAGGACAGTTTTGTGAGAAATGGTTCCTAAACTCTAAAATGTCACATGAGGCCTGGGATGAAATTCTTCTGCTGCTGCTAAGTCACTTCAGTCGTGTCCGACTCTGTGCGACCCCATAGAAGGCAGCCTACCAGGTTCCTCCGTCCTTGGGATTCTCCAGGCAAGAACCGTGGAGTGGGTTGCCATTTCCTTCTCCAATGCATGAAAGTGAAAGTGAAAGTGAAAGTGAAGTTGTGTCCGACTCTTCACGACCCCGTGGACTGCAGCCTACCAGGCTCCTCCGTCCATGGGAGTTTCCAGGCAAGAGTACTGGAGTGGGTTACCATTGCCTTCTCTGATTCTTCTGCTACTTTGGTCTTTTGTTTTCCTTCTTTCTCTGCTCCTAGATCTGTCCCCTTTAAGTCTATTTCAGGATGTTTTAAACCTCTACTACACTTGCTGGTGATTTTGTAAATTAATATGTAAAAGTTGTATATTTCATGTTCTTACTTCTAAGGAGCAGACAAGTTTAAAATTTGTATTTTTCTCCAAATAAAAAACCTAGGTAGATTTATTTTTATTACTTTTGTCCCTAATACAATGAGTTTCCTCAGCCTGGAATACAGTGATTCATTAAGCATTTTATGATCATTTTAAATCTTATTCAGATTATTGAATTGCTCTGTTGGCCTGCATTAATAATTTGGAGCTGGTTTATTTTACTGTTATGTGTTCCTTTCGACGCTTGCTTCTCTGCACTGGATGACAGTATTTGGTGAGGTGATGACCTCAAAGGTAATTTGCTCACCTGGGACTTCAAATAGATTTAAAAAAAAACCCCTAATCAAGCTTTTCCAGTTGTTCCCAGCAGGAAAGTGGATTGAATACTTACCACACAAGTCAGTCCACGGCAGCAGACGTTCTACCTTACTTCTCAGTAATCCAGTGAATACCCAAGAACTCCCAAGAACCATAAGCCCAATGACTTGGACCCACCTGATGCTCTCCCATCAACTCCACTCTGCCAAGCTCCCAGGGATCACCAGATGGAGAGATATTTCCTGTTTATATCTTGTGCATATTTTACTTTATTTTGAGGGGATATTGCTTTTTTTTAAATGTAGACCATTTAAAAAGTCTTTTTGAATTTGTTACAATATTGCCTTTTGGCCAAGAGGCATGTGGGATCTTAGGTCCCCAACCAAGGATTGAATCTGCACCCCTCCACTGGAAAGTGAAGTCTTAACCACTGAACCGCCAGGGACTTCTCAAGGGAGCGGGAGCAGGGGCATCCGATATTGCTTGAAGATCCCCATTGCCATGCCTAAGTCCTGAGTAGGTAATAAGACACTGTCAGTGAGAAGACATGAGGGTTTTCTTCCACACCCTGGTCCTTCTCCCCCTTCCTTCCTGCCCCTTGTGGTCCTCCCTACCCTTGACTGAGGGGTGTTTCCTGGGACTAGCTTAAGGAAACAGCAGTTCCCAACCCTCGGATACAATGCACCCTTTCCACAGGAAACATTTTGGGAAGCCTCTTTTTACCACCGTAGAATGACATTCATAGATGTTACAAGTCTTGGTGGTGTGGGGCCATCCCCCAGCATCTCAGGTCCTTGCCTGTTCAATGCCAAAACATCCCCATCATTGTGATAATCAAAGTCTGCCTACCAGGAATTCCCAAAACACACTCCTAGGGAAGGCAGGAACTAGACTCCTGTCTGTCTTGTTCACTGCCATATCCCCACCACCTAGCACAAGACCCTGCATGCAGAAGCTCAATCAGTATCTGTTGAATAATCACCACATGGTCTAGTTACCTATGCTGTGACTTATTGCCCTCTTCCCACTGCTCACCCCCCTCCTCTCTTCACCTCCCTGCCTGGGGGGAGGGAAGAAAAACAGCTTAGAGTGTGCAAGAGCCAGACCCTCCCACAGAGATGCCTACAGTGTTCACTGATGCTACAGCCAAAGGGATGTTTTAGGAGAGGGGCTGATTTCTAGTCCTGGTTGGGGTTGAGTGAGGACAGGGCATGCACAGAAAAGCAGAGACGCCTGTAGAGATAAGAACTGCTCAGTGGATACAGCCAGATTCTCTAGCCTTACAACCTGGCTCTGGCACTTATCAGCTGTTTAAGGTCTGGTAACCTCTCAGTGCCTTAGTTCTCTCATCCATAAAGTGGATAACAATAGCAGTTAAGACTGTTGTGAAGATTTAAATGAGATAATTCATGTCAAGTGACGAGGACAGAGCTTAACATGTTATAATTATGAGTTGTTTGTTTTCATGAAATGGCTGAATAACTTGGATAAAGGCACCATCCTTCCCTCAGCCTAGCATTCTCCCCACTCCTGCTCCAATCCTCTTCTCACCCTCCTCCATTAGACATTCAAGTCCCACTGCCATTGGTGGATATTTAGAGACCCAGCACATGGCCATCTTCTCTCTGCCCTTTCCGTATTTTTCCGTGCTGCAAAGCCCATCTCGGAGATCCACTGTGTGGGCCCAGTCACACTCTTCTAGGGCCCTTCCCCATCAACCTCGGAGGTCCCAC